CTTGAATGACAATATATTCATTGGTCTCAGAGTCCTAAACTTAAGGAAGATGGATGACTTTGGGACAGATATCAAAATTTTGTTCAGATATCAAAATTTATGGACATATATAGTCACAGTGACTAAGTCACTCATAGCATAGTCTAGGACCCTCATTGTATCTTCCTTAATCTGGCCCACTAGTCACAAATGGGGCCTGTTCTTATGACCTGGCTAGGCAGGAGACAACATTTGCCAGTATTGCCGATATACTATGCTAGCTGCTACTATCTGGCTAAGCACAAGGTATCCGTTGCCAGAATCCCAACTATGCAAGCCAAGAAATTCACTATTTACAGTAAACATTCTATCCCACAACCAGGCAACATGAACTTGCCTTTAGGGTCGCATGCTGCCTAGCCCAGATCATATCAACAGACCCTTAGCAGATCCTGAAACTACAATTGGAACATTTTAGGCCATAATCTTGTAGAATCAACCAGGTATTGTCAGTAGTATAATATCACACTGGGCATGCAAGCTGGTCTTGCCCATTTATATGGGCTAAATATACACCTGCCCATGGTAAGATACTGCCTCGTATATTAATTTTATATATGTTTGAGATTGCATTCACATGAAACAGCCTGGTTGAATTTATTGGCCGAGCATTTGCTTGAGCAAGTTGATATCCTGCATTGGGAGTCTCACACTAATAAAGGTCATAAGCTGGCCAACCAGCTCACTCGACTAAAAATCATGTTATAATACACAATTTTGACCCAAATTAATATAAGCCTTCTGAAGCTGTTGTCATTAACAAATTAACCAGCATTTCACACAAATTTCTTGACAACAGTTGCCAGGTTAGCCTGGCTCCTGTGAGGAAAATGACAAACTAGCCCTGAAAAGAAAATCCAGCCATGTTTGCTGGGCTAGCATGGCCCATTTTGACAGCCCTTACCAGGGAGAGCTTATTTTTGGAAGTGAGATCTGATTTTTGGAAGGGAGGCCTATTTGTGAGGTTACTGGGGGCTTAATATTGGATTGCATTATTATATAATATGTGTAAAATATTCATTTGTGCACAGGTATTCTGGTAATGCACAAATTTATGGACTAAAATGTTTCAATTATAGTCTCAGGATCTATTGGGGACCTGTTTATATGATCTAGGCTATTCAGAACACATGCTTGAAGCCTATCATGTTGCCTGTTTGGGATACAGTGCTTATTGTCTATGGTGAATTTCTTGGCTTACGTACATATAGCCAGGATTCTGGCAATGGAAACCTCACGCTTAGCTAGGCCGATAGTAGCAGGATAGGATAGAACATACTGGCCAATGTCGTCTCCCACCTTAGGCCACCTAGCCAGGTAATATGAACAGGGCCCGATTGTGACTGGTGAGACAGATGAAGTAAAAACAATGAAGTTCATATATGTCCATAAATTTTGATACCTGAACAGCAACATTGAACAAAATCATTCTGTCCCAATGTCATCCATCTTCCTTAAGTTTAGGACCCTGAGACCAATGAATATATTGTCAATTAAGGATTAAAACCAATGAAGACAAGTGTTATTGTCAAACAAACGAAAATATTCATGTCCACAGGCTGCAACACGCAACGTTGACACATTATCCTGAAGTCAACAAAATGTGGAAATCGACGAAAAACGAGCCAAGAAACAGTTATTGAGCTAATCAATCAAATAATTACTTGGCATAAGTTTGAAGGTCCGATCCATAGTCCAAATATTTGATGAGTTTCTTTAGCCCATTTATGCCAACAAAATTTTAAAAATTCCCTGTATTTAGATATTCGCCATATTGATCGCCACGCTGTTTGCCAAGAAATCGACATGTCAACTTGTCCCGGCCCGGAAGTGTCCTGTTTACTTGGTACACAGGATATTAATAAGTTAATGTGAAAATATGAAGATAAAAGTATCTTTTAAAAAATAAAACCTCTCAAACCTCGATTTGAAAGGCTTTTAAAAACGCTAATCTGTTCGGAACCTACAATTCGAGGGGTGGTATTTAAGCTTGCGCAAGGCAAAGTTTGAAGACCCATATCTTCGCAATCAATCAAAAATCGCCACGAGGAAGTTGAGGAGAATTCTTTTAAGAACAACATATATGAATTTCAGGGCAAAAAAGAAAAAAAAACGCTTGGAGAAAAGCTCTGAAGTAACCCCATATGTTTAGGGCAAAAATGTAAACAAAAACGCTGATTGGTCGAGAACGAAATTCCCCCTTGTTAACAAGACCCGTATAAACTGTACACGTTGGATAGCTCCTTGCCTTTTTCTTCTATTTCATAAAGCTTGCTGGGATTCTGGGAAGTCAAGCGGTTGGCGATAACACGTTGGCTAGCTCCTGAGTCCTCGTCTTTTTCGTTTGAATAAAGAGCTCTGACCAGTCAAGAGATTTTCTTTTATAGTCTCGCAAGTTATTTTGTTGGTTATTTTCTTCGTAAACGCCATACAATGATACAAACACCCGCTTCTGTTTAATAATTGTTTATTCTACTGATCTGATGCAATTTTTCGCTCTTTGTACTGAGTGTAGCCATCAACTCTGTGGTGTAGCACCTTATACAGTCGATGTATAATGAATATACGGTCTAAACAATATATATCGGCAATTGTAAAAGGTTATTATTAGTATTAATTGAATGCCGGTAAAATACAAAACATCAATTTATATATTGCGTAGAATCTGAAAGATTTTCTCAATATTCATGTCTGAAATGTTTATATATTTGAAAACAAAACTGTATCGCTCCTTCCTAGCTCTGTATAATGAATATACTGTCAAAATAATATCCACGCTTAATTGAATGCCTAGAATCTCAAGATTTTCTCAATATTTACGTCTGAAATGTTTATACATATTTTGAAAAAAAGCACTGTCCAGCTCCTTCCCAGCTCTGTATAATGAATATACTGTCTAAATAATATCAGTACTTGAGTCTTGATTGAATGTCCATATTAATGCATAACATTAATTTATATATTGCGTAGATTCTCAAAGATTTACTCAATAATATTCACGTCTGAAATATTTTAATATATTTGAAAACAAAACTGTATCGCTCCTTCGTAGCATTTCGTAGCATCGTCACGCCATCGTTGATCTATGGCTTGATAGCGCATGCGCATTTGCGCTGCTAAAAAAAATCGGGTGTTCCGGGCGAAAAATCCTTTGCACAACATGAAAAGCGAATGCTCTATAATTTACAAAAACTTACAATAACGACAACGATTCTGCGAAATTTTTGTGAACTTGGCAAAGGGCCTAAAGAATATTGAAATAACACAACTCAAATTGCCTAAATAACTTTCAAAGCACTAAGTACAATATTAAAATCACCACGAACATAAATCGTGTACACCCCCCGGATTGTTTGCTCTATAGATAGATCCATTGATCGGTCACTCGATTGAATTTTTCTACTAACAATAGTGCAAAGCGGACTTTGCACTAAAAACCAATAGGCTATCTGTCGCATAAATCCTAAAAATCCGTTGTTTGAACATATCAAAGTGTTGAACACCTGAGTTTTTGACAACTGTATCGAGCCACCTTAAAAGCGTGCATGTTTAAGGTTTCTATACATGTAAACTCCTAATTTTGTTTTATTTAATTTTATTTAATTAAAGATAATGACATATGCGAATCATAGATTAAACAAAAAAATATTTTGTTGATAACGTTGAAATTGAAGCATACAAACCTGTTCCTGATGTCTTTTATCTGATGAGTCTGTATCCCATCCCTTTTCATCCAACACAATAACAGTAAAATTCTCTTCATCAACGGTGGCTTGAAAAATTCTTTCTTTCGCCTCGCGGTAAAAAGTGCACTGAAAGCCTTCCGCAATTTGATGCTCGTTTTCATCGGGTAAATACATATGATGGTTCTGCTTATCAAATTTGCAGTTGGAAAGATAATCCGATAGAATTGCGTCTTCTTCAATACATACGCTATCTTTGTCGGTCACATAACGGGAACCTATATCAACACAAGATTTTTATTGGATTCTTCCACAATCTATGAGAACAACTTCAATATTCCTCAGTTATATTAGCAAAAAGTACGACATTGTCCGTCAAGTGAAGTATAATATAACGGTACAGTAAGTCCGAAAATGAACATTTTTAAGATGGTCTCGCGTTCGACTAAGTGTATACTATCCTTAATTTGCAGGAATGATGCCAGGTTACTTCCCAGGATATTTACTGGTGAAGATCAATTAATTGAAGTAATTTAATATGAGATATATTGTTCAACCTTGGAATTATTTATGTTCACATTTAAAACTATAAACTTTCCATTTAGAATGCCGGTACGCATTTGGCCTCTTTCAAACTTAGAACGTTTCAGGCATGTGCTGAATCAACGGTCATGAGCTTATAAACAAAATATTTAGTATATTCCCCGAGCCGACGACGCGAAGCGCCGTGCGAGGGTACTAATCCCCCCCGGCTATTTACACCCGGGGAAACGAAAGCATTAGCGAAGTCTAAAGTTCATCAAATATCGCGGGCGTGGCTCACCAACGATGTTTCGGTGGGTGGTCATCCTCACTGATCTCAAAATATGTGGCGGACTGTCATGAATAGCGAAAACTGATCGGTCCAATTTAAAGTTTGCATTATAACGACTGCATGACGACAGCGAAATAGCAAACATTTCTTGATTTGATGATTGATAAATTTCTTGCAAATATCACAAGTATATTTCATTTTCGCTCGCATTTTTGCAAGATTTTGTAAATTTCAAGAAAGAAAGGGCGAAAGAATCGGCTAAAAGAAGTGAGCCGACCTTAACGAAGGTAAGTTTGTTTTAAATATTGATTTTATAATGGTTTAATTTAAAACCCGACGGCTTTTGCATATATTAAACAACTAAACAAGACAGCATATTATTTCAGTGTATCTTTAGTAATATTGATTCCCTTTTTTATGATATTGAATTTTTTAAATAAAAAAGAAAGCAGAGTTATTTGCAAGCGAGAATTTGAAGTCATTTTATTGCAAACTCAAAGTTTATCGATAAAGCCATTTTAAAAGGCAGTTTAGTTTTATAAAGAACACTCGTGACTTTAAAACGTTTTGCGAAGCGTTTGTGGTTGAATTTTACCTTAAATTGAGGCTTATATTACGTATAATAACATATCTAACATATATATCTTGGGAAATTAATAATTTTGTAATTAAAAGTGATATTTTTTAGGCGATTTTTCATTTTGTAAGAATATTCTTAAAAAATTATCGTGTTACCATGACAACTACTTCAGATACTTCATGTTCGGAAAATACAATGGTTTTGTCTGTTTGTCAGCAAGGCGAGGGTTTCTGCATGCATGTATTTTCTAGTAAAGTAATTTATAAATAACAAAAATTTGTAGTTGAATCAGCAACCAAATTGTGAAATACACAGGTTGCAAAAAACCCCCAGCAAAAAGCTGTTTTCTTTATAATCCAAAGAGTTTAAGAGTGCATTTCATCGTGAAATATAAAGATATAAACGCATAAATAAAATTGAATAAAATACCAACCTGTTTTTATATTGCTCGCTGGCTCCAATTAAAGGCATTCAACACTCTAGATTTACGAATACCTTTGATTGGTTGTTAATCGATAGCTTTTCCAAACATGACAGTGTTTCCTTTGAGTGCTTCTCTCAGTTCTCTGGCACAATAAGACTTTTCGCCTTTTAAATTTTAATATCACTAATCAGCTGAAAGCCTGAAATAACAGGTTACAGGACATTTATGGATTGTCCTGTAATGGTGGTATAAACCATCTTGATCATAGCAAGATAAATTATACTGACATTCCTCATGCGGACAAGGGAGTTTATCAGCTAAAAACGCTCTGTGGTGTATATTAAAATAGTCTTTCCTCTTTTGTTGTCAAATTGTCCGCCATTTTGTCTCTGTAATCTGCCAGTCGTTATTTTTTCCTCGCCTTCCCTTTTCCTCTTGCGCGCGTCCACATTTGGTACTGATCTATATATATATATATATATATATATATATATATATATATATATATATATATATATATATATATATATATACCTATTCGTCCCTATATATAAAATTGAAATTCAAATAACGACTGGGGACGAGTCTGATCTCACTCCTACTTCATAATAAAGTACATGATCCGGGTTGCCGTTTTAAAACTCCTCGTATGATTACTCCACGCCACTATTCTGTCCGATTATTTCAAACGTTCATATATTGTACAATTTTATATTTATAGGTAATAGACCCATTGCACTGACGTCACAAATCCTTAGAGTGTCCTCCAGATGCTCCCTAACAATACTGTTCGGGTACAACAACCACATGCATACAGCGCAAAAATGAACTATTTTAATACGAAATTATTATAAAGTTTTACAAAATTTGCTTTGTTTGCAGAAGTTATATTATGCATAGATTGCTAATTTGTCCTCCAGATGCATCGTCACCGGCGCTGTGACATCATCTGCAATGGCTCTATAGTATGTTTTCGAGTGCAGTTTGGGAAAAGCATGCACGAGTGAGTTTTTCAAAGACGATCAAAATTGCACGAGTCCGAAGTTGGAATGAAATTGAAGTCTTTGAAAAACTCACGCGTACGAGTGTGTCTTTTTTCGAATTGCACGAAGAATCATACTATTACTTATTAATAATATACATGAAAAAATTATGCAGTCACGTGCGTAAGTCACATTTAGTAATTTTAAAGAAAATTGAGAAATTTAAAATTTAAAATAAAAACAATTAAGAAAATTTTAAAAATTGAGAGGTTCGCAGTATATTTCATTTTTTTGCATTGTATTTCGAAAAAAATGGCTGCTGTTAGCCAATCAGAATTGACAATTTTTTTCATGTACATTATTAGTACTTTTATAGTTTTACATATAAATAGCAATTAGCTGGACGTGCCGTCATGCTCTGCGGTCCATGCATGTATATGTTACAACTTGTCAAGACGAAATATGCTCACGACTCAATACAAATTTTGATAATATGCATGGTATTATACAC